CTTGCAGGGAGAACATCAGTGGGAAAACAACAGGAAGTGGCAAGTTCAAGGCCAGCATATAGGTAAGTGGCTGCTACCAGGTAGAGGAGGGAACAAGGGATGTGCAGGTTATGACAGTGTAAGAAGTGCTGAGGGTGTGAGAGGTGCTGAGAGGGTTGGGAACGGTATTTGGATGTGTCAGAGATTCCATGCAGGTCAGGTGAATGACCAGGTGGGTGATGCGAGTCAAGTAGGGTATATAGCTGTACATGAGAAGTGGTGTACAGGTCACATCATGTACACAGGAGGTGGTGCAGGTCAACATGGATGCATGGGGGTTAATGGGTAAGAGATGTTGTAGATCAAATAGGGCATTGTGGAGTAGAGTTACAGGAATACGTGAGAAGTGCTGCACTAGTTGGAGATTATGTGTGAAGGAGTTGTGGGCCGGGAAGAATGTCTAGGGTGTTTAGGAGTATGGAAGAGATGCCACCAAAATCATGGACGTGTGGACAAACAGTATGGAGCAGAGAGGGTGTGTGGGTTCCCGAGAGGTACTACATGGGAAAAGCATGCATGAGGAATGCAGATTGGAGAGGGTGTGTGGGGGTGCCATGAAGTTCAGGAAAGATACACAGGGTGTATAGCCTGGCTCAGGAAGTATTCATGGGGGCATGCAAGGGATTCCACACACTTCAGGAAAGGCATGCAACAGATGACATAAGTAAGAGAGGTGTGCAGGAGGTTCAGCATGGGTTGGGAAAGACATGCAACAGGAGCAGTATGGGTCAGGAGGGAGCAGCATAGATCAGGGGAGTGTGCAGGATGGCATGGGCCAGCAGGGTGCACAGGAATTCCTTCCTCCCTGTTCCTCCCTCCCTCCTTTCTTTTCTTGCCCCTTCCCTTTCCAGCAGGCAGGTAAGTGACTAATGCTAAGTGGGGGAGGAAGCAAGACAGGCTGGGAACTGTCACAGAACATTGTAAATGAAGATCATGCGGCCACAGCAGCAGCCAATAGCACTGAAGTAATCACAATTTCCCAAATTTCATTCCCTTGAGAATCATGAGTCCTGGATTTTGAATACATTCTGTAGATTAGTCTATTTGCAGTACCTTGGTTCAAAAATTGTTGCCCAATAATGCATTGTTTCGCTCAGTTAAAAGTGATGATAAGTTTTAGTACTATATAGATAGATAAACTGACAGACAGTTTAGAGCTATGTTTCTCACCCTCAGCAATTTTAGGATATATGGACTCCAACTTCTCTGAGCTGAAGTGCACACATCTTAAAGTTGCTATGATTGAAAAACACTGGTTTAGATAGAAGATAAAGGCAGAAATTCTGGGACCTGTAGCCCAAGTCATATGGAGACACCAAGCTAAGAATGTTGAAGATAAGATTAAGAGTTCATACAATTTTACTGATACAAATTTAAAATATCAATGATTATATTAGGGTGTGGAAGCATCAAGGGTGACCTCATCGGAAGCATTCATTTATGTCCTTTTCTGAATTTTTAAGGGTTGAACCTAAATTTCTTATTCTCTGAAATTTTTAGCTTTTGTCACATAATCATATTTATATAGTCCACTACCTTCTCCCAAAATTTAGTAAGTGTAAGATGTTGTAAAAACACGTGTTTTAAAAATAGCATTTATCTTTATTATATTTCCCCAAAAATACTGTTTTTGTTATTATTTTCCTCTATAAATATAATTGAATTCAATACATTTTAAATAATTTTGAATAAGTCAGAGTTTTCTTCAAGTCTCTTGCTATAGAAGTTAAGACATTTTCCTATGGTTAGGTAATATAAGAACCTTTAACTCTTTATTCATCTCATTTCTTTATATCTGCATATCAAATTGATTTATTGATAACAAATATCTACAAAAACTAATAGGAGGGCTTTTTTGAGGTTCAGAAGATTTAACAATTGCTTTTCTATATCACCAAAGCTTTAGTTTTACTGCTTTCAGAGGAATTAAGTTCTCTTACAGACCTTTTTAAAAGGATTTCATCACAAAGTTGAAAATAAAATACAGTACATACAAGATTTTTTCTAAACTCACAAAATAAGTGAATATATGTCTCATGAGCAAGAAAATCTTCAGAGCAAACTAGAGGACATGCATAATCGTTACACAGCAGAAATTCATGAATTTTATTGGATCAGTAACAGATGATGGGGCTTAGATTTCATCCTCCTAGGACAGACAGACAGACAGACACACATACTCTCTCTTTCTCTCTCTCTCCCTCCCTCCCTCCCTCCCTCTCCCTCTCTTTCTCTCTCAACAAAACTATATGCATATTTGTAAATGTATGTGTGTATGCATGTGTGCATGTGTGTGAGAGAGAGGGGGAGAGAGAGGAAGAGAGAGAGAGAGAAACTCAAGTAGCTTTAGGATATATAACTAAGGTAAAAAAGACAGACTTGAGTATCATCTAGCTTGGATTTTAACAACTCTCACCCTGTGACACCCTCACAAAATTGTTCCTATGGAGAATGTAGCCAATCACAAAGAAACTTGGTGGACATCAAATTATTTGTTAGGTAGACCATTGTCCTTGAAAGCTATATTAGAGACCCAGAGTCTAAAAAATCCACGCACACAAAGAATAATGCACAGAACACATAAATGGCAAAGCACTTGACTCACATATTAAGGCAAGAGTAATGGGTCCAGGAAACAGGACGACAATACAAACATGTGCTGCAATAAATTCACGCACTCTTGGTACGTAAGGTGATATATTCCTTTTAATATGTCAGGAACATCTCCAACTTTCATAGGTTTAACAGCTTTCCCACAGGAAGCAATAATGATATTATGCATGTACAAGATTTTATGAATGAATCTACCCTAATAAACCATCTGTTTAGAATCTAGATGGTTAGATCCATGCTTGAAGGAATGCTTTTATGCAGTTGCACTTGAGTATTACAATATATCAGAAAGCCAACCTGATATTTAAGTACACATTTCTAGACAGTCTTTGTAATACTACCCTTTCTCCAATTCAATCCCCATCCCCACGATCACATTATTCCAGCAAAAAGCAATAAGGTTCTTAAAAAAGGGAAGAAAACAAAGAAAAACTGATGTATTTATTTTGTTAAAAGATAAGAAAAAATCCCAACAAAAACTTGTAAAAACTGGGAGCAATTCAAACCAGCGGGTGTTCAGATTATGACAACTTTAAAATGCTCTAAATTTTAAAATTCAAAAAAATAAAATCTGTACTACATTAAACAGAAGGATTTCAAGCTGAAAACATTCCCATTTTGAATTCAAAACATGTACTTTAAAATCAGAAAAGGACAATAACATAGAAACATTTTCTTCTGTTCAGAAACATATGCAGGATACTTCCCAACAAAATTGGTAAGACAAGTTTTGAGTTCAAACCATTTTGCACATCCCTAAGTCTAACTTTACTGTCTCTACTGACACTATGCTATTATCATTCCCTCATGGTCCTTAGCAGTCAAAAAGATTTGTTTTTTAAAATGTTGCTACCAGCATCTCACTAACCTATCTGGATAGGCAATCTGATTCTTGTATATGAAAATTATTCTCAGTTCGGGATCAATTTGTAGAATGGCTTTAGGCAAATATTAATTGATATTTACTTTTTATTCACTGGTTTGAAAAATGTAAAATCCAAATTGGATTACATTAGAAAATCAGAAAGCCTTTTCTCCTTTTGCATCTAAATTCAGTGATCAAACCAATTCTAGGAACACTCTATACCTGGAGATAATTCTGAAAATGAACACACAAATTCCAAAAATAATTGAACAAAGTTGTTATTTCAGTGACAGGCAGCTGAACTTTGTTTGTAGAGCATCCTGACATCTTGTCTTAAGGCAGGCCTATAAACTTTGACATAAAATGAAATAAATAAATGTTACTCTTTCTGGCTGTTGCCCTACTGGTGGGAGGGGGGGAGAATCTACTGTAGTTCCACAGATGCTTTCTTGACCTCATGCTGTGACCCTTATACCAGCATTCACAGGCTGCAGGTCATGACCTCATGAATTAGCATCATGAAAATAAGGGCCATTTCAGGTTCAGGTTCAAAACAGGCCACTGTATCAGGCTATTTTTAATGAGATTATAAGGTCTGTTTCGAGAAATCCATTAGAAGATAATATGCAAACCAGATTTCAGCTTCCGATTATTTCAACTCTTGTTCTGAAATTCTAAACTACGAAAATAAAACTATGATTTCTGCAAATGTAATTGCAAGTTGTTGTTGCCAAGCTTTTCTGGGAGAAAATATTCATGGTATTTGCTACAGTTTGTTTATATTTGATCATTTATATTTCGGACATATCTTATGCTGACGCTTTCATTTTGTCTGTTTTTTAAACTTGCAGTCATAGATCAAGAAATACAGAAGAAACATGTTAAGAACCAGATAAAAAGAGGAAAGTAAAATTCACATCCAGAAGCAGAATACTTCTTTTGTTGGATCAAAGTCTGATTTCTGTTCTTGGAAAATGTCTTGGAAAACTCACTGATAGAAGTGCAATATCCCTGCTTCTATTATCTCTGTAAAAGGGTCAAGGATTCCACTGTATTTATCCAGCAAAGAAGTAATCAGTTGCTTATAAGAGACTTCTTTTAAGTTTTTTTTTCCAAAACAGCAGTAAGTAAAGCATCACACAAGCAAATATTTTAAACACTTTCATTAAATTTAGAATATTAGAAAGTTTTTAAGACCCTGTCAATGCCAATAGCCAGTGATTTCATTTGAAATAATTTTTTCTCTCCCATTTTTTAGTTCTTGGTTAGTGTGCCTTTTTGTTTTATAAAAGCAGCAAAACATATATTTTAAAAAAAGGAAATTGAAAGCCTTCCATTATTTTGCCCAGCAGGGGGAGCCAGCACACCCAGCCATGCCATATGTGCACAGTCTGAGGTGATTGAATGCACTTAAGATCAGTTTGGAAGCTCAGTAGTAATAAAAAATATTTAAGCCACATGCAAATGGAAAACGTATTCTTACCTCTTTCAGGAAATTCTTGTGGATAGCTGCAGGAAAGGAAAAAGAAGGGGTGGGAAAAGAGCATACGGTAAATGTTTGCAAATCTAAAGAATAGTGCATGTTTTTTCAGGTTAACAAAATGATATCCCACAACTAATTACTGGGCAACACTACCTCAAAAATATGATCTAAGGGTTGAAGAAGTCTTTCATGAGATTAATAGTTGCATATTTGTAATGAACAAATAATAACTGTATTATGTTGCACCTAAGCTTCAATTGAAAACATCAATATATTAATATGGAAAACAGAAAAAAAATCATGACTACTCTGAAAAATTCACAATATGTTTAAGAAAGATTAAGGTAATGCTTAGATAAGTTCAAGAACAAGAAAAACAATTACAGTGAGTTAAAATCTGACAACAGTATCTTGAGGACAACACAAATATACACCTGTAAGAATGTTGCTGAATACCACAATGTTAAGACAAAAAAAAACATACAATAGCTAGAACCATTCCTTGGGTCAAGATGATTTGTGAATCTGCATTGATAGGGGGATATTATTTCCTGATATTCAGTGGTTCATGCCCTGCTATTATTATAATAACAGCAAGTGCTAACTTTTTCTACTTGTTTTCTTATTTTAATATATTGCACGTGCCTAGAGATGCTCATTCCAAGGAAGTGAGTTATAAATTAAATAACTAAATAAACAACAATGGACAACAAACTGTATCCATATAAATACCACCCAGACAGAAGAGCAAAAAGCTAAGGGATAGATGGCTGCACTTTTATTGTGCTAAAGCATCCCTGGGCAAGAACCTGATCCAAATCACACAACTATTCTAGTATCATTTGGTACAATTTGTTATATTCCTCAAGTCTGGCTCTGGTGTTAAAACTTTGCACACAATAAGCATTTTATCAGTGTTAAATGATATAGTGGTAGGTGCAAATTATCCAAGGTAAGCATTATTCTTGATAGGGAAGAAAGTTATGCTGGCAAAAAGCCAAGCTATCAGTCACAAATCATATCCATCATGGCAACAACCTCTTATATTGCTTATCTATTTTGTCACTTCTCCAGACAACCACAGCAGCACAACAGTCAGATATAATACTGTAAGCAAGCATGACATGGAGAAACCATGTATCAGACAAGAATAGCAAGACATAAAGGTTTTCAGCGCACATCAAGTTTCTTTCAAAAGCATTATCTACTTTCATAAAGTCCAGAGAAATATTACTTTGCTCTTTTACAATGCCTCATTTTGCAAGAAATAATGGTTCATGCTAAGATTTATATAATTAAGTAGTCACCCTAGAATGAATGTAGCAAGAGTTCCAGCATTGCTAATTTTTGATGTGGAAGGCACCATTTCAAAACTTCCAGATGTATCAAATGCTTCTGTAAACATTGGTCGCACAAGACTAGATACCAAATATTAGAAATTTCCAAGAATCCCAACAATAATAGATCAACAATGGAACTTATTACCTAGATTGCTTTGAGCATCAATTCATAAAACAGACAACTCTCTGTCAGGAATACTTTAATTGGGATTCCTGCTCTAAACAGAGTGTTGGCCTTGATGGCCTACAGAGTCCTGTCCAACTCTATGATTCAATTCAATCCTATACTGCAGTGTTTCTCAACCTTGACAATTTTAAGGCATGTGGACTTCAACTCCCAGAATTCCACAGCCAGCATTGCTGGCTGTGGAATTCTGGGAGTTGAAGTCCACATGCCTTAAAATTGTCACGGTTGAGAAACACTGCTATACTGGATTGTGAGGATTCTTGACAAAGAGATTCACTTGACTGAATTACAAATCATTACTTGTTAGCTACACTTTTAGAAACCTGTCTTGCTAAGAATGTCTGAAGTTACTTTTCTGATATCTAACATAAGCCATCATTACATCACTTCATTCCAAAAACCATGAACCATTCACAAACTGCCAGAACTGCGGTCAACTCCAAGCAAAACAGAAAAGAAAAGAAAAAAGGCAAAGCAGCAGAAATGTAACGATCTTTTTAGTCTGTTAAGAGCGATGGTGACACAGTGGTTAGAAAGCAGCATTGCAGGCTTCCAGTTTTGCGTAGTAGCACAGCAGCTGAGGAATTCTGGGGCTCTGCACCCTACGGCCGATTTCTTTCTATTTGGGGATCCTAAATGGGCATAACCTCTCCCCGGAGAGGCGACAAAGAAGGAGAGGTGCCCCGCCAACCATGGAGAGATAGTGGTAGATCCAGTCATCCAGGGAAAGCCCTCCAGAAACTAGCAGAAGAAAGGCTAGCTTCACTCCAGAGTCTAGTCCAAGCTACAAGCAGCTGAAGCCAAAAAGCACTAATTTAAGCTTGATTGTAAACAACATGTTTGGAACTGAGTAAGAATACCAATTCCCTCTCTTCTACTCGATAATTGATTTCTTGGGAGGAAAAAATCCCAAGGAGTAAAAATCCTCTGAAAGTGAGAAGGAGGGGGACTTTTGCTCCACCCTACCACAGATGGAAGTGGCAAATTAAACTTTTATGGGGGACAGAAATACATTGAAATGAAATGAATAAATGAATAAATCTGGATAAGTTTGAAATTGGTGGAATTAGTTAAGATTTTCTTATCAAAAGATTATTGATGAAAACAGAAGTAATTGCTTGTTTTGAAAACTGAAAAATGAACTGGTACTGACATCTAGTGGTGGATGAAAATATACAATTGTAGTTGCTCTGATACAGGAATTGGCAGAAAGTCCAGAAAAAAGATAACCTGTTTTTGTGACCTTCAATGTTTTAACTAAATGGAAAACAGCTGCAACAAAGAAAAGAAAACATTTTGAGCTATCTACAAAGTGAGAACCATAAACCTTAGGGGGGAAAACTGATCTTCCTGGATTATAAATACTTATTGAACTGTGACTCTAAAGCTGTTTGCAGAGAAAGGAAAACTTTGATTTTTTGGCTATCATGGAACACCAGAGATCTGCAGAAAGAACATATTAAGAAAAAACAAATACTTTCCAGGAGGAAATGTATGCTATGCTGCAACTAATTCAAATGACAATGACTTTAAACCATGAGGAAATCAAAAACAACTTTGAAAATATAAATGAACACATCTTCAATTTAACCTCACAACAAAAAAATTCTCAGAAAATAAAAAAGAGAGCAATCAAATAAAGAAGACAATTGAACATAACCCAGAGGAAAGAGATTTAAAGATAGAACCCAACAATGGAAGGAATTATGACTTAACCCAGGCCGAGAAAAACTTGCAGGAAATATCGGATATGGAAAAGATAACTTACACTTCAAGATTGCAAAATAAACCTGAGGACAAGAAAAAAGATTCGACAAAATGGATTACAGAGCTGTCAGGAGAACTACGAGAACTTGATAAAAAATGAAAAAAAGAAATTAAGAGAGAAAAAAAAAGATTTTCAATGAATACGAAGGGGCGAAACATTCCTACAAAAACATCTTACTTGACTTGTCTCTTGTACCTACAACAACATCTACAAGACTATGGGAAGACCTTCTGGTCCAGCGGAGCATACTTATTAGGAAAGTTATTTGGCAAAAAAAAGGCTAAAGTTAGAATTAAGAAATTAGATGATGGGATTTATTAGATGGAATATATAAAGATTAAACACTTGTTTGAATATGATTAAAGAAATAGAAAAATTCTGGATATAAATAAATTTTAGTTTAAGAGGGATGGGCCCCTCAAGTAACATAGTATTTTTATGATATGAGAAATATAAAAATTTTGGGATGGTTTATATGAGGGAAATGTTTTAGATACTTAAGTGTAATTGATTTTGAGAAAATTTCAATTGATAAGAATGTTTTGAATAGATTTTAAAAATTAGATGATTGGATTTATTAGATGGGATACTTAAAGATTAAACATTTGTTTGAATATGGTTAAAAAGAATAGAAAAATTCTGAATATAAATGTATTTTAGCTTAAGAGGGACATGTTTCTCAAGTAGTATACTATTTTCCTTTTTTCTTCTCTTTTTTTGTTTTTGTTTTAAGATATGAGAAATGTAAAATTGTTGGGATGGCTCATATAAGGAAAAAGATTTAAATATGTAAGTGTAATTAACTGATGAAATCTTAACTGGTAAGAATGTTTTGAACAATGCAGGGAAAACAAATCTAAATAAGAACTCTGAAAACAGGATTTATGACAAGGTAATTAAGATGATCAATGAGAAAAGAAGCTTTATATTGATGTGGTTGTTACTTGTAGAAATACTACAAAAATATTTATATTCAATTGTTATCAAAATACTAAAAAATGTACTAACTCAAGGTTGATAAAAGAAAATATTATTGGAAGAAGAGAAAATCAAGGAAAGCTACTATGTGGATTATGGAATTATAGAAACTAATTGTTATTGATTGTTTTTAAATATAAACCCAGACAACATACTGTTTACCAAATATTAAGGTGATTATGTTAAAAAAATAATAAAATATATTTTTTTAAAAAAGCAGCATTGCAGGCTAAATCACTGCTCACTGCCAGGAGTTCAATTCTGACCATCTCAAGGTGGACAGTCTTCCATCCTTCTGAGCTTAGTAAAATGAGAACCCAGATTGTTGGGGGCAATATGCTGAATCTGTAAATCGCTTAGAGAGGGCTGTAAAGCACTATGAAGCAGTATATAAGTCAAAGTGCTATTGCAATTTCTATTGCTGTCAACTACTAGAAAGTTAGCAAACCCAGAAAAGAAGAATTTGTTGAATTTCTGGAAACATCTCTATTTTAAGAAGTAACAGAATCTTGAAAACCTACTCAGGCTATTTTCCAGATCAACCTATACCTAGCATAGTTACTCTTCAGTCTTTTTCTAATACTTGCTCATGTCCACACAGCTGAGATGTCTCTTTTGTACTGGACCCGTTTTCTCTCTATGTTCCTGAAACCTATTAGACATTTCATTATATATTCATATGGAAAATGTACAGAAAGAATTCAAGTCCTTTCTTTTGTGCAAGTAGATTTCATATACATGGCTTCTAATTCATAATTATTTGTATCACTAGATTATTGTTGAACATTTTTGCATGACCTCTATGAACATTTCTTAATGAATTTTTTAGACATTATATCAGTTGTCCATGTTTAATTTGAAAAGAAAAATATTATATATTTCCACCAATTAAAATAATAATAATCTGCTTTTTAAAGCACTCTGAGAAGTGAGACAGAAAATATACAGTTAGCAACAAAATTTTAAAAATTAACTTTACAGTTAATTTACAGTTAAGCAAATATATGTGTCTCAGGATAAAGTTGTGGGATCCGGTCAGCCACCAGGACCAGAAATGTAGTCTTCTGAGCTTTTGGACTCATGCTAGAGCCCATCCTCATTGTTTCATGATTTTTGTCCTGCTAAGATTGTTTGCATGCTAAGTAAGGAAGGACAGATGTAAATAGGGATACTACATCAAAGGAAACCATGAACTCGTCAGGAGTCACATTTAAGCCTTGTAGTTTTATCAAAACCTATGTGGATATTGTGTGGATATTGTGACCGTGATGTTCGAGGGTGGGGTCAGGAAGCTTAAGCATTGTGCCAGCCATTTAGCCAAGTTGTAGGTAGGAGTATTTCACAGCACTACAATAGGTCTGAGGGGTACTCTTATTTTGTGTATCTTAGGGAGTCCATAAAATCTTGCTTGGGTGGCATTTGTTCCTCTCATTTTCCAATATTTCCATTATACCAGTGGTGGCGAACCTATGGCACGGGTGCCAGAGGTGGCACTTGGAGCCCTCTCTGTGGGCACACGTGCCATTGCCCCAGCCTTGCCTTCCCCTGCAACCCCCTCCTCACCAGCAGGCCCCCTGGAGGAGTCACCCCTGAGCGTGGCCCATGCGGAGCAGCGCAGCCAAGGACATGGCAGCCAGGCAGCGTAGACAAGACTCTGCCCTCATGCCCCATCATGCACAGTTAATGCTGTGGGGCGCGGGCAGAGGGCGTGGCCACCATGGCGCTGCTGGGCTGCCTGGGTGATCTGCGGTGGGCCCTGGAGGTGGTGAGTGGCCCTGCGGGCAGGGGGTGGGGGCGGGGCAGGGGGGGAGCAGAGGGCGGGGCCAGTTTTTGGGCACTCGGTCTCTAAAAGGTTTGCCATCACTGCATTATATAGTTCTTTTGTTTGAGTTGGCTGAGATAAGCATTCAACTGTGTGTCCATTGTTCTCTTCCTCTAATGCCTTTGCTGGTCTATGTGCTGAGAAATCATTAAGCAAGGCAAATGCCTTCATTTCATAATATATAAAGTTCATCATCACTATTGAAACGGCATTTATCTGCTGGTTAAAGTAATAATGTCCTGATCTTGTTTCAGGGCTTTCAAGGTGCATTGATCCGTTGGCTGAGTGTATTGTTTGGTTTGTGTGCAACCACCACTGCTGATACATTTTGTCTGACAGCATGTTTTTTCTGGCTGTTGTATCTCTACCTTGTTGAATATGGATTCTAGCACTGCTATAAATTTTCTTGGTGTGGGGTCACATATGTTAAACCCTGTCATGTTCAAGTATTCATCATTCCTGCTGACTTAATTGTTTGTTCATTAAATTATGGATCAAGTTCATACAAGTTTAGAAGCATGGTTTTAAGTTTTCAATTTTATCCATTTTTTTTGCCTGTCTTTCTTTTACAAGGGTCCTAATAACATTCTCTAGGTGGGCGATTAGTTCTTCATATTGATAGTTGCTTTATACTTGCCCAATATTAGATGGCAATCATTGATTAAGACCTCTAACATACGTTTGCTGAACGCTTTTGCCATACATCTGCCCATCTCCATTAACCAGTTGTCGGTATTGTATGCTGTGTGAAATAACCCTTTTCCAAGTGCATCAGTTTAGGGCCAGGATAGCCACTGCAAAGTGATATAGTCAGAAAGCACAATATCATATGACTTCATCACTTAGTGACAGCAATCCAGGTAGTCACGGCTACCATAATGCCAAGGTATGCAGATTGTTAAGTGGGAAGCAGTGGGAATCCCAGGTAAGGAGTGCAGGGGTGTTAAGCAGGGATGGGGGAAGCCTGAAAAGGCCAAGTACAGGTTGCATTTATGTTAGGAGATGGGGCTGCTGAAGAATGGCATAAATGCAGGAAGGCCAGGGAAAAGGAGGGCATGGTGCATGCAAGTGACGGGGAAAGAAGGCACGCTGTGTGTAAGTAAAAAGGAGGACGAAGGAAACAGTGCAATCGAAGGGGGAAGGAAGGCAGAGTGCATTCAAGCAAAGGCGGAAGGAGGGTACTGAATGAAAGGGAGGAAGACGATCTGATGGATACAAAGGGGGAAGGAAGTTGGGTGCACGTGATCGGGTAAAAGCAAAGAAAATTTGGGGGAAGAGACTTACCCAAGAGACTTATCATTTTCCGTGCCAGCTTCCTTATTGACTTTGCTTGTGGGAAGCTGGCAGGGAAGATCACAAATGGTAAATTGTGACATGACTGCAGGACACAACAACTGATCTTACAGTAAGTGCAAGACGGTTGCCAAACACCTGAATTTTGTTCACGTGATCACTGCAATTATCAGAACTTCAAAGACTGATTTTAAGTCCCTTCATTCAGCGCCATCATAGCTTTGAAAGGTTGCTGAACAATGGACATTAAGCGAGGACTACCTGTAGCTATATTTCTTCTGCTGCTTATTAGAGAAGAGCAGGCTGATGATAGGAGCTTGAGTTTCCCATGTCTCCTTTGTTTGGAATATGAAATGAGAATATGATGGTATATAAACCTGAATAAATAATAAGGATTTAATTTATACTGGAGCCTTAATTCATTCAAAGTTTTCTTATTAATAAAGGAAAAATAATAAGGATAGCCTGTTCCACAGATTGGTTGCAAACTGATATACTTTCTATATTAAATGTACTTTATACAAGCATAATTACTTACTTGGACCTGATGTCTTTCATCTTCTTAACCAAAGCATCTCTCTTTTCCCTTGCTCTTTTGGATAAATTTTCACCTTTTAGGATATCTGATATGAATGTGTCAACATCTAAATCATGAAAGAATAAATAGAAAGAGATGAGTCAAAAAAGAAATACTAATTTTCAGATGATTAATACCTCTATTTTAGTTTTTTTTCATAAAGCAATAACAGCCAAACTATTTAATGGAGTTACTTTATCAGTTCCAGGCATAAAATAATTGAAAGATATTTCAAACTGTAAATTGAATAGATTTGTTCACTGCTCTGCTTATGCTTAGCACAGCAAATGCTGTTTTGACATTTGCTATCATTCAATGAACAAAAGCCTAACCAGTTTTTATAAACTGTCAAAACATATAAAATATATGCACCCCACCCATTACTCAAAGAATAAAGTCTAGAAGATAATAAACTGCTTCAACTCATATGTGACTGTCACAGAATCAAACTTCATTTGGCACTTTTATTAAGAAAATAACATTTTTAAAGTTGATCTATCTTGAAATCCTGTGTGTAAAATCTGGAAAGTGAAATGGTAGTAAATCTCAAAGCTACCAACAGAATCACCTTGTGCACAGAAGAACTGCTAATATGAATACTAAAACAACATAATATCTATGATAAAACAAAGAGAACCAGTAAGTTTCAGTGTAAAACTATCACTAAATATGGCAATACTGTAAACTCATATACACAAGTAAAACACCATTTCCATTTTTATTTTTTAATGTCTTCTGATGCATAACTTTACCTTGATACACATTAATTTAATCTGGATGTACTGTTAAAGAGAATTCTCTGTAATGCACCCTGGAGAGGCCATCAGCTGGCTATAGATATTGCATTAAACCATGACTATGGTTAACTACAGTTAAATACACAGTTGGTCGTTCACACATCATTCTGACCCAATGGTTTATCAACACTCTAAACCAGGGTCCCCAACCCCCGGTCCGTGGACTGGCACTGGGCCACGGCATGCCACAAACTGGCCCACACAAACAAGCAAAGCCCCATCCACGGGATGCAGGCAGTACATGAAACCATGCCCCCTCCAGTCTGCAGAAAAACCTCTCTCCATAGAATCGGTTCCTAGTGCTCAAAAGGTTGGGGATCTCTGGTCTAAACCAAAGAAACCATATTATGACTTTGATGTTAGTTAGTTCAAATGTTCATGTGTGTATGCTTGTTTTGCTATGCAAAATATAGTTCGGTTTAGTAGCAGTAGCAGATGCCCATAAATAGACAGTAAATTGTTTTATGTTTATTATGAACACATAATAAACAATGAAGGACAAGTGATGCAGGGGTTGTCCTATTTGTTCTCTAAAATATATAAGCCTAATCATGTTACAAATGGTTTGCTGGATTATCCTTTTGGTCTCACCCAGGACTGCTTTTCTTATATAACAAGTTCAATTCGCATCAGAACTAGCTATGCAATCTAGTTGTTCAGTTAACTGAAAAATAGATTTTCTGGCCATAATGAGGCAATTATTCAGTTAATGGCAGGCTGAAATTAGACAGGCTGGTTGTTATACATAACCACATTCACTGCATGGTTGGGCTAATGCCTAATCTGAGTTAACACAGAACATTTGTATTTCAAAATTTTTCATGAATAGTGATTGTCACAGCCCAATGGAATATGAGTAGAAACAGCTCATATTAAGTTTTATATAAAAGGACAGAAAAATCTGCAATGCATAATCATAAGATATTGGTCTATAAATAAATTAACAAAATATTGGTAAATGAGAGCACTGATACATAGGCAACCAAAAAGATTAATTTCTGAATTTAAATAAAAAATTCTAAAATAACAATTACCTCTTTATATAACTTTCATCTCAAAGCAGAGAACTAAATAACTAACTAGGAATAAACTCTGTGTAATCGTGTTATTTGGCTGACAAATTTGGCATAACCCAAGTCTGTTATTGGCTTGGAGCCCACACTGTCATTCTTCTATTTTATCAGCAGAAATTGACTCTCAATGTTCCTGGTCTATCTTATGGCCACTCGGGAGGGAGGGAGGGAGGGAGGGAGAAAGGAAGGAAGGAAGGAAGGAAGGAAGGAAGGAAGGAAGGAAGGAAGGAAGGAAGGAAGGAAGGAAGGAAGGAAGGAAGGAAGACATTGTATTGAGAAAAACTGAGTACCTTTTTCTTAGATGTTGAGTCATGTTATATTTTAAGCAAAAAAAATACCATTTTCATTCAAAATTGTCTTTGAATAATTGAAGAAAAGCAAACAGAATCACAAGACAGCTAGACTCAATATTACTTTTAAAAGAAATCAGTGGGGCAGCAAGTGTATAAAAATAGCATACCCCATTTTTTATTCCTAATATGGGACACTATAACCTCATAGAAAAGACAAAGACTCTTCTTGTAATACTACAAGTTATTTTAAAAATGTTTCTCTTCTTTAACTTCAATGTATCTCTTTTCATTTCAGTACTCTTTAAGACAGTGGCCCCCAAACTTTGGGAATCAGGGACTGATTCTGTGGTGATAGTTTTTTCTGTGGACCAGAAGGGGCGTAGTTTCACATGCTGCCTACATCCCACGATGGGGCTTCCCTTGTTTGCACGGTCCGATTTCTGGCATGCCGCAGCCCAGTGCCAATCCACAGACTGGGGGTTGGAGACCCCTGCTTTAAGAGATAGTAATTGCAAAGGTAATCAGCTTAAATTATATTCACATAATGATTATGCTTTTTCAATTATCCAGAACTCTTCTGTAATGAATAGTCATTTCAGCAATATTCAGACTGAAAACAAAACACTATAAAAAGTGTGATCTTTATGTCTGAGAGCTAAATGTAGAAAATATAAAACTCTACCCTGTATAGATTGCATTAATGGACCATAGTCAAGAGAAATAAAGGAGAGTGACTACTGCTCTTTTCATTTTGGCAGCTAAAACAGTTTCATGTGCTCAAATAGATAATCCCTATTCATGACTCACAATCATAAAAGTTAAATTAAGTTGTAACTCCTAAATTAAGAGGCAAGAATGAGTTCAATGGAAGAGAGTAGAGTGCTTACTGTAGAGTGCTTACTGTAAGCTTCTATTATTGCATTTCAGTGAATATTTGTGAACATCACATGTGCATGAAATAGGTACATAATTTATGTACCCTTACATATCTGCACAAATCTCTACAAACCTACACCCACACAAATAATTCAAAAGAAGAGCTTCAGAGTTCAGAGTATAGAATTTCTCTGTACCTCATTAAAGCATGCAAATCATTTATCAGGAAGCTTCTGCCTGACCATGCAAAAAGATGCCACTGCTTTTAGAGTTGCATTAAAGATATGCTACTCTGATTATTCACTTAATTAAAGCAGTGGCAACTTTTTCACATACATGGCAGAATTGTGCTTGCACAAGATCCAAAATCTAAAAAACTTAAGCTCCAACTTTGGCATTATCAAATACTGTCATTATGTATGGGGCCTACATGACTTGAGTTAAGATTTCATTCATTCTTCCCTTTGTAACTTGTTTCTGTTCAAGTTTCTAATTATCATTCAGTTTGTGTAATTACATATCCAGCACCATACTGATGAGGGGAAGAATGGAGGGAGATCTGTAGAAAATAATTATCTAACTGGTCCACTGTTAGGAAAGATTAGGACTAATAAAAATTAGTCCTCCAACATAAGTACTTAACTGAGGACTTATTTCAGTCATTTATCATGAGAACTTTTAGCTTGTTTTTAACTTTTGATTTATCAAGGGAAAAGTAATTCATTCATTTTTCTTTACACCTCATGACAATAAGTTAATAGCAATACACAGAAAAGTCAGACGGGTTGGCCAAAATTTCAATACTATACTCCATTTGTGCTTTAGTTAAAATCCATGCTGGCTGGAGATTTCTGGGAGTTGAGGTCACATATCTTAAAGTTGCCAAGATTGAGAATCATAGATTTAGACTCTCTTAGTGTGAAGTCAGAAAATGGAACACTCTAGTCAGAAAAAAGGCTGGGCAGTTAATTAAAAAAAAAGCTAAGACCCATCATACACTGTAATTTTAAAGTTTAATTTTGAATATGTGTATGAATAATATATGTATATATACATATTCAAAATTAAACTTATTTCCTGGCAAATAGACTGCAACCATATAGTTTCAAAATAAGCAAGCTGTCTTCTGATACAGGGTGGGTTAGAATATCAAAGTAAAACATAATGTGGTTACTTTGGACTTTTTGTGCAAAATCAAAAATTAGTTTGTAGGCCATGAATAATAGGATAGCTTGCTGTATGACTCTAGCAAATTTCAATTCATTCAAGGGCTAAACAAGTCCCAATCACAATATAGAGCAGTTCCTAGGTTACCTCTGTTAGTCTCAAAAAGCTAAGCAGAGTAAGGCCCAGTTAGTTCTTGGATAGGAGGCCTCCAAGACTGTAAATTAGTCTGGGAAATCAAAAATATTCTGAAAAAGGGCAGTTCCTTCTGGTTGCTGGGAAAAAAATACAGACATTTGCATGTAGTGAGGGGAAGCTGAATTTGAAGGATTTGCATTACTGCACACTTCAAAAATGATTAATAATAATAAGTGCCTCAGATCCCACATAAACATAACACTCTTCTGCTATTCATTACAACAGCCCAATGTTTTCACTTCATGTCGAAAGAAGGGGCCACTGCTTTAAGACTTACTGTTAGAAACAGCAGCATTTGTTTCAGGCTTGGTCAGAAGCCTTAATAGATTCAGTCTGACTTCATGGCTAGCTGTAGTATTTATCTGAGATCTAAAAGCACTTATTCAAGATAATTTTTGAAGCATATGCAACCCTAATGTTTATGTGGTATGAAAAAGTATGAAATTAGATCTATTTCTATTGGCACCCAGGAAGGAATTCTTGAAAAGCTGACATAATCACATCTTGCCAGAGCTATAAATACTTTTCAAAAGTATACTCAAGAAATCTTTCAACCTATAAGTGTTGACTAAGATGTAATTGATCAAGACTTATGTGGCATCTAATATTTTTTTCATGTTTTTTTAAAAGAACTACAAGCCTGAGAATTCTTGTTTGAATTGTTACAGTATTCTTTCTATGGACTCATACTAATCTAATCCATTCAGTAGTTATTTCATATATTTAATGTAGTTGGTTCTTGATTAAGACAATTCATATAGTAAATTTAATATTTAAACAAAGTGTTTACAGGTATAAATAAAGTTTGAATAAAACTTCAGTGTAATGGATATTGGTGGGGGCAAATCAAGTTATTTACTGAGTAATAGTACACAAGTCCACTTAGAGGAAGAGCCTACTTAGAAAAATGCATTTCATTATACATGGGTACAGAATTTCAGTCAAACCTATAATAGAAATTTAGTGCTAGCATAAATATAAAACAGTCACCAATAGAAAGGGGATTTTATTTCATTCAAAAGCATATAATTGACAAAAGGAAATATATTTTAAAAAACTAGGTGGCTTTCATTCTGGTATAATGTGCAACACAGGAAATACAACACAGAGCAACCTATTTTAAGATTATGAAAATGTAAGCAAATATGGAAACGTCAAAGGCTTTTTTTTTTGGCTGAAACAAAGCCCCAATTCTGCATTTTGGACATTGGTCCAAGAAAAAAAAAATCAGGAATCCAGTTGGACTTATCCATGCATTGAGATGCTTCTACAGTACCACTCTAAGTTCTTAGCAAAACTCTTTACACTTATAGCATCAGCATTTAATAAATGCACATTTATTTTTCAAATTAAAACTTTTATTATTTTTATTCTGCTTTCATTATCTTATAAGTAATTCAAGGCATTGAACAAACATAATACTCCTTTCCCTTTCTATTTTTCCCACAACAACCCCACAACTCAAAGTCACTCAGGTATTTTTATGCCTAAAGTGGAACTAGAACTCAGTCTCCTGATTCCTATCTCTATACCTTATTCACTGGCCCTATACACCAAACTGACCTTAAGAATATATCCCCAAAATAAGACAGCAGGAGTACAAAAGCAGATTTTCTGATGAATACTTATGTCAAGCTTTCCCTAGTCCAAGTCAGAGAAGTATTTGGCCATTTCTTGTCCAAATATTTAAAAAACGAACAGCTAGGCATCAGCCCACTCTGCTTCGCGACCCAGCTGCTCCTCCATGGTAAGTTTCTTGATGACCCTCTCACGGAATCCCCCTTTTCTTTATTATTACAATTGGAAAACAAAATTATCAAAATTCTTCGGCTTCCTTTCCAAAAAGCAATCACTCCAGCCCAGAAGTCACTTCTCTATTTCTTCTGCCTTCCCTTTTCTTTCCTTACTCTCCTGTAGCCGTATCACCCTGCCTCTAGCAAAGCGCTCCCTAGTCTCCCACGCTTGCAAAGGTTCCCTCCCAGCCGCGCAGGGCACATTCACCTGCAAGGAAGTTACTGATCTCCTCGGGGATGGCGGGCAAGCCCTGCATCATGACCAGGTGGTCGCACGGGATCCCCTTGCTCAGCGAAGACAAGGAAAAGATATAACCACACCCCTTTCCCAACTCCGGGAAGTTAGTTAATAAACCTCGGGGGCGGGGCTACTTCGCCAGCTTCTGCAACAATGGTCGTCCCCCGTATATTAACTAGTACAGTATTGCGCATGTGTTCTTAGCACGGAGCTCGCTTACGTTACTGCAAAAGTTCGCATTTCTATGGTTACAAGAACTCCGGACTGACAAATCGTAGCACGTGACTCCAGTTTTGCATTCTCTCCATATTTAGTGAGGGCTTCCCGTTCTTAAGTTTGATCTGAGTCTTAAGTTCTTTTCCACCATCAAAAATGGCCAAAAATGGGCCACGGCAGCTTCAGACTTTGGGGATTTCTATTCGATAAAACGGTTGGAATATAAATACGCAAGAAGCTTCTTTGATTGGCTGAATTATGCTTTCCCGGTTTTAGTTCCACACCACTCGGTATGCGGTCTTCTAATTCTGCCACGATCCGGGATTCTAAATTTTAACAATCGGGAATTTATCCTGGCTGCAGAGGTATGTCATTATCAGAATGACTCCTTTGGGGACGAACGGGATTTCCTTTTGAGTGGACTTGCATAAGAACGTTCTGTCCATCTGCAGAGGGTTCTGTGTCTGTAATAAAGTGGAAAAAGTAATCCGCTTGTAGAGAAATAGCAGCCAAAACACCACTCGCAGGAGAAGGCTTTTTCGGTTTTGTTTTGATTTCAAGCAGCAATTTGCTTTCACACTCCCGTTCATCTATATAATCTAGGGGGGAAAGAGAATAAAATGCAAGATTATTGTTCTATAATTAATGCAAAGTCATGACTTTCTAATCAGTTGCAATCTTTCTGAATCTCAAAAACTATTTGTGCGTGCACTTAAAAATCTATTGCTTGGTTTCCCAGATTGTGAGATGTACCATTTTTGAGGCGGTGAAGTCAATCTAAGGGAAGCCCGAAGAACCTTTTACAAGGTTATAACTTTTACAACTTTCCAAAAGTTTCATTGTACTGTTTTCCTTATTCATTTCTGTTCATTTTGGTATTTGATTTTTAGGGGAGTGTGTACACTAAGGTTATAGTAAAAAGAAGTTTCATGTCAAAAAGTTTAGGAACTCCTGGCCTAGAAGGAATGAAAAAGGAACAAATTTATAGAGCTGAGCATGCACAAAACAAAAAAATAACCTCTTAATTATACTATTATTAATTAATTCTGAAATCATTATTTTCTCCACAACAATTCTGTATTCCATTCTTTTGTATAGAGAAGATACTATATACATAGAATGAAAGAATGCCTTTTATAGAGTTCATTGATCTATAAAGCATGACATTACAGACAGAAGTGTTTGGTAGAATTTCAGTCAAGAAAATATTTAGGGTTGAATTTAGAATTTGGTTGCTTCCACATATGTTGAGATTCCCAGAATTTATAAACAGCATAGTTATTGTAACCATATGCACGCAGACCAAATTTAAATAGGGTGAATATAGGTAATTTATAAATATCCTGTATTGCACAGGGGACCAAAGGACATTTATTTGTTGCTGGAATTAATGGAAAAAGTTTTAATCTGATTTTAATAAACTATTGTAAAACATTTTTTTTCTTTACTTACACTTCAGAGTACACTTCATTATGTTCATTATTGCTTTGCTTACAGTAGAAATTTAAAATTGTCCATTTTCATCTTAATCACTATCAAACCATCTTTAAAAGGACCCGATAATTCATTAACAGCTTCTGACATTCCAAAAATATCCTTTATTTATGTTAAGTCATGAATTGATCTAAGATCTTTTCATTCAGTTCCACTAATGGCAGTGTCTGATATGTATTTGCATCTAGGATTTTTGTCCTGGTTAGACAAACCTTTCTATTATTAGTTTACAAAGACCAATTTTGTTCCTCAAGTCTTGAACTCTTAAAGGACCCAACATAAGACCCAACCTAAAAGGAATGATAATTGGTACAGTAAAACAAAGAGCACACTCAGGCTTTCATTCTTAATACAACAATCTTATGATAATCATCTGGGATGGAAAGGGTTTAAAAAGAGGAACGGTCCTTCTGTTCTGCTGGCCAGGTGGTAGAAGATGGATGCTGAAACCTGATTAAGATGACTTCTTAACTGAGTTGATGATAGTTCTGTTTCACTTTACTTCCCTGATGAAATGGCTGGTGACAAGTGATAGTTGATGGAAATAGGAGTGTGATAAAGCTGCAGCTGATTGTGGCCCTGTCTCCTTCAGTCTCTCTGCTATGAACCTGATATAATGACTACTGCCATGTGACAGCTGATATGGTTTCTTAGCAAAGCTTACTTCTCTTCATTCGTTCTGCTGCCAGCCTAATAGTTTAATATGAAGGAAGCAGTTATAAGCCACTGGCCTTTCAACCTCCATTAATCCTTTAGCTAGGAATTTAATGCAATTTTCTGCAACCTACTGCTGTTGAAAGAGTTGGCACTGTAGCTCCCAGAATCTCCAATAAATATTTGTGCCACGATTGCTTATATTTTTTAAGATTTGCACTCTGACATACCTGGAGGGCACTAAACTGGGAAGTGCTGCTGTACCAGCAATTTGAGGAGTTGCAATTTTTAAACAATCTGAAGACTAGAAGATTGTGGAAAGCTAATCTAATTTGGTGCAGGTACAGTGAAAGCTTTTTTTTAAAAAAAACAAAACACAACCTTGATTAACTTGGCAGATGGTGAAGATCCTGACAGTTGTAGTTTACCTATATCTAGAAAATCTTAGTTTCTGACTCTGTATTTTTCCCCACTTTGAGAGGAAACATACTGAGAATGAGCAATTTTGTTTGCTCACATCTTTAAAAATGGAAATATCCATTGAAGAGAATAAGGAAATGAAAAATTATCTGCATGAAGGATTGAACATAACCTTCATTCTCATTGATTTATTCTTCAGCAGCTTTCTATTATTTTTTTGTAATGTACAGGAGAGAAAACTAGATAATAGGCATTTTGATCAAATAATGAAAATAAATGTCCTCTACATTTCTTGAACTATAGTTTGGTATTTCTTCCACTCCTTATCTTTAATTAGACAAGGAAGCTATTTTAGCTAGCAGTAGTATTTTATTATCCATTTTATTACTGACTTAACCCACATTCAAGCAATTAAGTAACTGGTCCGTATAATGTCATACAGTAATGGTATCTGTGGGTTATAGTGATTTTTATATTTGTGTTAATTGTTAATAAATGCTATTCTTTCTGCCTAGGGAATACTTGCATTGTGTTTGTCTCTCTCTCCAATTGTTATAATAGCTATTAATGTGTACTTTCGGTTACACATTTCTGTCAAAAGACTCCGGAAGCATGTATGTACATAATAGGTTAACAAGGAAATAGTATCCAATCCAGCAATTTTGACCTTTGGGGCTAATCTTAATCCTACTTTAAGTTTAATTTACTGTTCAGTCTCTCCTCAGAAACCAATTTAAGATGTCATCTGAACCAACAAATACTCCATTTACATTGAAATTACTTTCCCTGTTGACATTATTATAATTGTTAGCTATGTGAAAGGAGAGGATCTGAAGTCAACTGAAAATACTCCAATAGAAACTAAGAGCACTTTCTTAAATGGATTGGAGATCACAGATTAAAGCTCCAGCAACAATATAGTGCCAATTAAGCTAAAGTGTGGAAACTTAAGCCAAACCCTTGCCAAGAAAGTTCATGAACTGAAATTTAAATCTATTAAATCTTTATTTGTAAATTAATTGAGCAGCCTGCACATAGGGGAGCTTCCAGAGATTATCTACCTCGGTAACCCTTCTGTGAAAAGAAATAAACAAATCATTTTCACATGGTATCCTATGTGATTTGAGTTTACCTTGTAGCTTACCATGTAGAAATTATTCTTGGAATGGATGGAACTATACCAACAAATGCTATGTTACATTTGTAATTTATTGCATTTTTTACGTAGTGGTCACTATTGCTACAATTGGAGGATGAGGAAAAAAAATGAAGATTTTTCATGTTCTGCAGTAGTAATAAGTCAGAACTTGTGTTCTAATGTGTAAATTCTGGGCTTCTCCCTTCCCGAACAAAAATATGCTTGGTAGTTCACTAGGTAGCTGTGATATTTTTTTTTTATCCTATTCTTTCTAATTGGGGACTAAGGGATGTTATCTTGCCAGATTTCTCCCTTGCACTGATTGCTTGCTTCCACTGCTCTGCCCAGAACAGAGTCCCTTGTGTTTGTCTCAGCCGAAAAACAATTTTCTGGTGGAGAAATCCACCTACAAGCTATCACAGTTCCACGTTAGCCATTGAATAGTTCAAAGTCAATGAGATTTTCAAATGGTCTACCTGCCTGCTGACTAAAGCATCTCACAGGATTTTTAAGCAGGCAGTGTACCTATTAGCTAATCCACCTGTGCTAACCAATGGGTAGACTGGGCTGAATGGATTTTTGAAGGTCCAGATCCATTCATAAATTAGCACTGTTGTGTATTATCTAATAGGCAGCTTACACTAACAGGATTATTCCCCTAATTTTAAACATGATTTTATTTTGTGGGTAACTTTGTTATAGAGCATTGCATGTCAAAACAACTAGACACAAAGTTTTCCCCCCATGCCATCACTCTGCTAAACATCTAATTTCCATAGCACTGTCTTATGACTAAGAATATTTACTCATGTATTAGGGCTACATTACTATTACCTTTCTCATCTTTCCTATTATCTTCTCCTATTGGTATCTTATGATTTATCACAATGTTATTGTATGTACATTGAGAATTTATGCACCAGAAACAAATTCCTTGTGTATCCAACCACATTTGGCCAATAAAGAATATTCCTATTCTATTCTATTCTTACTCTTACTCTTACTCTGTTTATAGAGGTCCCTCCAAACAGTTGCATTAAAGTGCTGAATTCCACAAATTGGCCCTGGTTATGTAATAAACTTCCTGTTCTTGAAATTGTGTTGACAAGGGTTGAAACAATTATCAGAATAAAATCTATCATTATCTCCAAGAATGCAAGTTACATTTAGGACAATTCAAAATTGCA